CCTACATAGCCTGGGCTTACCTAGAGCAGGGGTGGGGAACGTCCGGCCCCTGGGCCATATAAGGACTGAGAAACAGTTGGTCTGGACCTACGGAGGCATTAGGGGTGAGTTAATTAAATGTTTGACCAAATGCAGCAGGCTAATTTTTAAGTCAATAAATTTGTATGATCCTTGAATGATGTTATAAATATCCAAATGGCCCTTGGCAGAAAAAAGGTTCCCCACCCCTGACCTAGAGGAACAACTGAACTGAATGGGTTTGGATTTAACCTGAGGCACCTGTAGACCAATTCTAAGTTAACGGTGACAGGTGTTAGTAGTTAAGTACCCGGGCCCCCTGTAAACAACTTGTTTTCCAGGTGGTGAATTCTTGAGTCAAAACAGCACATCGGCCCCAGAAACTTTGAAAAGGTTGGAAGAGAGGAATGATGTAATAATTTTGGGAAAGAAAATTAAAGTGGTTTGAATAATATTTTTAATGTACAGTTTTCTATATCACATTAAAATGTTAGCTTATAAACCCAAATCCTTTACAAAAGAGCTGTGTAAGAATTCACTTTCCCCTGGAGTGACTAACAGTGAAACTGAATTAAAAGTATTTACTCAGTCTGCGAGGAGCAGAGAAGTTGAAGTAACCAGAGATGTCTTGAACTGATTTGGGATTAAACTGGAGCTGGTTTTATCCCAGAGTGATTAGTCTCAGATTAGAGAGACAAGGGAAGCTTTGGGCGAGGATTCTGATCATCGAAACCGTTAAGTGGAGATCACGCCACAGCGAGTGCAGGGCGGGCTCTGAGCTGCCCATCCCTCTCTGCCTCCCAACCTTCCGAAGGTGAGAAAGACTTTCAAGTCTCAGCTGAGCTGTCACCTCCCGCCAGGCCCCCGCCAGCTCCATCCATCGCTGCCTCCGCACGTCTTCCCATGTCTTCCTCTAGACAAGTTGTCGAAGGCAGGAGCCAGGGCTTATGTTCTTGTCCTGGAGGCGCTTGCACAACCTCTCCCCGCTTCTCCTCAGCTGCTGGGTGAGCCAGGAAGCCTTGCAGAAGCCGTGTCTGCAAATGGGCCTCCTAGTCCCAGATCCCCGTGCAGGCAGCCCTCACCCTTCAGCAGAGGCCCCGAGTCCGGTTTCCTCCACAACCATTAGGCCTCTGTCCGTTCCCGGGGTGGCTGATGCCGGTTTCAGGCTCAGCCCCACCTGAGCTGCTCAGAAGGCTTGGGGCCAACATCACCTCTTACTCTCGGGGTGACCTTAGAGAAGCTACCCCACCTCTCCTTCTCCTCAGCTCTGAATCGACTTTTCCAAAGTTCAGAGTATTGCTCCCCACAGAACAGATGTGCCTCCCCCTGAGAAACCTCAGCCACACCAGCTCTCTGACCAGCACCTTGGAGGTGTGAACACCTCCAAACCAATTCAGACGCACAAGTGCCAACAGGTTAGAGTCCTCCTACCTACAGGCCCCCTCGCCCGCCCCCGACCTCCTCCCCGCTTTAAAGTGTCTTTCATTCTCCTGGGTATGGTTCTCTGTATCTTTCCCATCGATGATTTGCATGGCCAAGTGATCCATTCCTTCCCCACCTGTCTTCCCCGGGTAGCCACCTGCTTCTGTGGGAGCCGACCCCTGCCCGATCTCGGCCTCCACTTTGGGTAGGCGAGCCCTGGACATTCCCAGACTACGCTCCTCCCTCAAGTCACACACATCCCTCTCTGTATCCCAAACTTCCTTCTCTCGGCAGGGGACCCCGCAGATCTGGGCCTGTGGTTCCAGGCTCCTCCCAGCGGACAGCCTTACCATGCAGGAGACAGCACCCTTCCTCCCAGCCCCCACCCAGGACCGCGATTGGCCTGGCCGGGTCACGTGCCTGCTCTAGTCAGGTGGCCGGGCAGCGGCACCAGGCCCAGGA